AACTCGAATTCTCAAAAAATTTTGGGATTCACATTTTCATTACTTCTGCTTATATAAGCTTTCATGCAAAATAACTTGTAGGCACATAGAGCATTTTTTTTACAATTTGTCAAAAGGTAAATGCTCCGAACACAATGCAATCGTTATTCTCAAATTATTCTCGTGTAAAGGCCACTAAAGAAAAAATTAAAAAATCTTTATTAATTATTCTTTTCCCGTCAAATAAAAGTTTCACATTATTATTTTTATTAAATATTTGTGTGTGTTATCGTCTACTTATTAGTTCAACAAATTTTATAATATTTTCTAAGTAATTTCCCTTTTCTCTTTTTTAATTATTTTAAGATTAAAATGTAAAAGTTCAGAAACTTATGGAGATATTTATTTTTTTTTCTGTTAAAAGAAAAACTATTTTAAGATATTTATTTCGAGAAACTTGTATTCCAACTAAGATCCATTAAATTTTTAATTTTCAAGAAGAAACCTTAAGGTATTTCCTTTTTTTTATGTAGTTTTAAATGCATGAAAATTTAAAAAGCAGGGGCTCAAGAGATTCATGTAACTCATACTAAATAATCTTATGTTGGTAGGAATGAAAAATTATTTGAATTTCACGTACTCCACGTCTTTTTGGTTTTATTCTTTTACATTTCGTTTTTCTTTTTTTTTTTTGAGCTGAAGTTTATTTTTAGCGAAATTTTTTAATTACTCTCGTAACAATAAAACGGAAGGTAACTTATAATGTTAATGTTTTATGTGTTCACTTTTATTTTACTGTTGTTTTTGTTCTTATATTTGGTACATTAAACACAAAATTAACGAAATTTGATTAAAAATTTATGTCTGCACAAAGATGCCCTTGCATATACATGACCGATACTTTTGTAATAATATGTATTTATATAAAGTCATAGGATATACTTAGTGTTTTTTATTGCTTTCAAGAAAATAGTATGTACAATTTACATACATACATATAAAGGTATATTTTTTAAAGTAATTTTCAATTTTTTCATTAAGCAAAATAATGTGCAATCATAATTGAGATTATGTTGAGATGAGAAGTTACAACAAATACTTATGTATGAGTAATTTAATTATGAATTATAATTCATTATTTATTTAATAAAGTTTTAGGGAAGAGTAACACTTCTTCTTTAAATTATTTTAAATTTTGAAAGTAGGTAGTCTCGGTCCCCAAATTACATATAGTTTGAAATGTTAACTTAAAATACATGAAAAATTCACTCGAGGGCGCATAAAATTCTTAAGTACTCCATGCAGTGGTCACAGGGGACACAAGATTGTCTGAGGTTCATTTCGTTCGGTCCTTTTCTTTTTTTGTGAACTTTTCATTGGGGGTAGACTTGAAGTTCTAGTTGAGGGGGATCGAACCTGCTAGATTACTGAAAGACCTTATCATGTGAAGTTGTTCCATCCATCTTGCTCAAGGATGTTCTTTTCAGAGCTGTTGAGGATGAATCGAAATCAGTGTCGTACTATTACTGATCGAAATCAGTTTCGTGCTATTACGTACGATGTCTTGTTCTGGTTGTTGGAGGGGCAGATGTTTTTGGTAGTTTTCTCAGTGTTAGGGGCAGTATGAATAAAATATTGGGGGGCTACAATAACTTATGGCTGACTGCAGGTGTTGGGGGGAAAGGAGTTCGCTTCCCATATCTCTCTTCAGTAATCTATGCAATCTACTTCTTTAAATTTAGGAACAGCATCGACTTAGAATAACTTAAAATATAAAATTTTTAAATATAAGGAAGATTAAGATCTCAAAATATTTTATATATTGCATGTTTGTGTTAGATATCTAAAAAAAAGCAAAATAAAAGGATCTTAACCTCAACTTAGACTACTTGTGGTCTCGCTTTTATTATTTCTTCGTACATAATAAAAATGAAAATCTGAAGAAGAACTTTCCTAAGTTATGAGCAACATCATGGAGAAAAATAATTATCTGAATATTTCTTTTTTAATTTTTAATTTTTGTCGAAATATTTACTTAAGTTTTCGTCCTTTCCATTATTGCTTGCTGCTTTTTTTTTCTCTCTTTTATTATAGAAACAGGGAAAAAACGAAGAAACAAGAAACCGTAATAAAAAACCGAAAAAATAACAAAACCGAAAATATTCTACATTGTACTTATAACAATGTGTGAAGTAATGGTTATGTGCAGTTAAATCTAAGCTCCTGTATCTTATTGAAACACTTAAGAATGAGACGGCAGATAACATAAGTAGTCGACATATTAGAGTGAAAGAGAATAGGTGTGTTGTGTGTATAAACAAAGTCAAAACATAAGGCTATTTATGCTATCACCATTTCAAATTTGTTACATAAAAAGAATAAAACAAAGAAAATTAAATGTTTTCGTTGCTTTATTCGTTATTTCTCTGCCTTTTGCGACAAAATCTTACATTATTTTTCTTTTCATCCTCTTATTTAAAAAAAAAAGTTGCTTGTATTGTTTATTTGTACTCATCTTTCTTTACATTGTGATGAAATATGATTTTAAATTTTATTCGAGCGAGGGCGTTTAATAAGCAAAAATAAAAATTTATTGAAATTTTTAGTTTAAGAAGAGTGTGTACAATTGAGTGAGAAAAGTATTGGATAATAAAGGATGAAAACACATTAAAACTTTTTGTTTAAAATTTTTTTAAAACCAATTTCGTCGGTTGACTTTACCTCACAAAATATTTCAAATGTGATTTAAGTGGCTACCAATTGCATTACACCTCCCTTTGTTTTAGTTTGTTACATTTAGATTGTATCAGCATTTTTCTGAAGATGTCCTGATATAAGAAACTTGTTCCATCAGAAGTTTTATGTTAATTTTAGAATTATTATTCTTAATTTTAAATTTAAATTACTTGAATTAACAATGAATGGTACAACGAGTTTTAACATTATTACTATTCAAATTTACGAATTTTATCTTATTCACGAAATTGCAGTTTTGAAGAAATCACATTGAAAAACGATGAGAAATCATGTAGAATTCTTAATAGTTATTTGAGAAAATTGAGCCCGGGTAATAAATTCAGAACTACTCTAATTTGCATTTACTATTTTGGTTTAGTATTTGGAAGGTTGTTCACCGAAACATATGCAATTTTTATTAAAATATTTGTATGTATGTATGTATGTATTTTAAATATAATATGCGAAATTGTCTATTCCTCTTGTTGGGTAAAATAGTGTGCCATAAATTGCAAAAAAAAACATTGTTTTTGGTGTATGGAGAATCCTTGAGATGTTAGGAAGTGAAAATTACATTTTTATTTCTTTTTTGAAGAGTAACAAGTTCTTAGAGTTCTGTTATAATATAAATGAAAATTTAATATGTTAGAGCGTATATGGACTTTCTATTATATACTTATGTTTTTAATAAAAAAAAAAATTGATCCTTGAACTATACTTGCTCATACTAGCACAATGAAAATTTTTGTGCCTAACATTTGTTTTTTTTTCAACGAAAATATGTTTAATAATATGTGATCCTTGAAAGATATCCTTGTTGTCCATGTATGCACATTCTGATTTGAGGATATGTTGGGTAATTTCCGTAAAAATGACGTAATGTATTTTGTACATTTTGTGAATTGTTTTAAATAAGTGGCCAAACAATGTTATATTTCTTTACATATTTTTTTATTAAGTTCATATCATAAGCATAACATTTTAAGAAACATTCAAAATCAACTGAATCAACAAATTCTAAATAACACTATCCTATTAGACTATCAAGGCCGTTCATGTGCTTTATCACTTTCTGAAAAAGTGTATTATATTCCTTTTAACACGGTTGAATTAAATTTAAAATTTTCATTCAATTAATTTTATTACTCAGCACGGACTCGTCTCACAATTTATTTATTTAAAATAAAAGCGTTAATAATACCGCGCAAAAAAACTGCTCCACATTCCAATAATAATTCGTGCAATGATCAAAATAACACTGTCCTCCTTAATTTGTTATCATGCTAATAGATCAAATTAAAAGTAAACAAAATGGGAATACTCGTAGTTAATAGCATAAACCAGGAGGAGGTTTAATAATTTAAAAAGGGCAGTTTTGTGCTTGTATTGCAGAATTTAGACCACGAAAACAAGTATAATGCAATAAAAGGTTCTAATAGATGCGTGTATGTTAATAAAGTTCAAATAATTGAAAATTCTCGATTGACGTAAAATATTTTAAATTCATTTTTTGTTAAATAAAAATTTGATCTTGTTTTGTAAATCTTTCAACCTTCCATATTTTAAATGAAAAATGTTAAAAAACAAACCACAAAAATTATATTAACCGCAATATTAATTTATTGTATAATTTTAATAACTGAAGGTGAATTAAAAATTTAACAACTGAATTTTTCAAGACGGTGAAATGCAAAACTTGTATGCAAGTTGCATTTTCCTTAGTTGATAAATATTATGTTTCGGTTTATAAATTACTTCAAATTGTTTGCCAATGGGTCAAATAAGAGTATTTTGTAACTCTTCTTGCCATTATTACTTAATGTATTATTTTCTAATTTACATTGATATAGCAGTTCAGAACTCAAGGTTTTCATATATACCACACAAAATTTATTTCTTATACATTTTTTTTTGTTATTTTAATCTTAGAACCGTAAAGTTTTATAATTAGTTAACACTTCAATCATCATTAAATTGTTGTGGTTTTTGTGTTATTTTATTTCACTTTTCAAAAAGCCTGCTACCATATATGTATATATTCTGTTAATATATAAAGCCTTTTAAACTTTATATCTATACATAAAAGCCAAATGGTTCAAAACCTTGAATATATATTTCGTGGTTTTTTCAAAAGTTCAATAAATTTTTCAGTGTGGTAAAAATTAAAATATGTTGTTAAAATGATTGATTATAGAAACAAAATTTTTAAAAACAGCTTTTACTAGACCATATTATACATACATATATTATTGTACATATAAGTAGAGATATTTTATATGAATTACCTGTGAGAAATATGCAGGAAGGACACATCTTTGGTCATCTAATCTAGAACATTGCACTCTTTCTAATAATTCAAATAAATCATGTGTTGCACCACGTAATCTTTCGGGACTATTTACAGTACTACCACCTAAACTACCACCACTTTTCATTGATGATTGATGATTATGATGTGAGGGTGTCGTTGAAGTCCATGAAGATGCATGCTGTCGCCTAAAATTCAATTAAATTTTCGTTGAATATTATTTTAAATGCAAATTTTTTTAAAATTACTTAAATAAAATAATTTTTAAGTCATCATGATGCAACTAAGCTCAATTTTATTAAATTCAATTAAGTGAAAATTTATTTTACCAGTTTATGAAATTGGGACAATCATGTTAATTGTCAGAAGTATGACATCTGCTCGAAAAAATTTAACCAAACCGTTTGTATAAAAATTAAATCGCGAATTAAATACCATGAGAAATTTTCTTTTTTCTTTAACTTATGAGCTAGATTATTATTAACAAGGATAACGTGATTGAATCTTTATTAATACTTGTATGAATATGTAGGCCCTTTAATAATACATAATAAAAAAAAAAGGATTCATTACAAAATTAGAACGTTATTTTTGAAAAAGAAACCCCTTTTGAATTTAGAAGAAAAGAAGTTTCATACTAAGTTTTTTTTTGTCAAATCACAATGAAAAAAGATAAGAATTGAAGGGCAATGGTCCTGTTTCTTATTGCCATTTGAAAATTTTTATATGTATGTGGACAGTGTTGTTTTTTTTATTTTTTTTATTTTCTGTTGTTTTGTTTTTTAAATAAACACACAAATTTCTTTTAATGTTTAAAAGAAATATGCGCTAGAATAAAGGGACACTTAAAGAATGTAATTTGAATTACAATATGCGGTACACTGATGTAAAAAGAAAAATTAATATAATAATCAGCGAAACAATAAAAAAAATTTAAAAGAAAAAGGGAAGAAAACTTAATATCAAAAGGTATCAAATCGTGAATTTTTTTAATAATAATTCTCAGCAAGGACACTAAGAAATGTGTCACGTACCGAACAAAAATCATTTAAAAAATTCTTCAAAAATTTTATTACAAAAATTTTAACTGTAGTGATTGTATATACAAACTAACTGTGTACTTTATCGTCTTATAAAATCTAACTTCGGTGGACATTTTTCAAAAGAAAATAATAAAATTGATTTTTAAGTGGCCTTTAAGGGAATGTTCATTCTATAGATTCATATAAAAATACAAAGTAACGGTATAATTAAATGTACACATGCGTTTTTAAATTTTAAGGATTCTTGAAAGTATTCCTTTATTTCGTTTGAATAAAATGTGTCCAGTTTTTTTTTTCATTGTTCGCCGTTTTAAGATTTTATAACACAAAGTATTTGATTTCGCGATGATTGGTATTTTTTTTATTGTTATGGGAAAATTTTGTTTATTTTTTTTAAAGCAAAATTTTCGTTTGTTTTTTTTTTTAATTTGGTAATTAGATGCGATATGAAGTTTTTTTGATTCGCTTTTTAAAAATTGAAATTGTTTTTTTTCTTAATTTGGATTTATTATAAAGTGGTTGGTCACTTTAAAAATGTATAATTTTCTTGAACTTTAAAGGAATTCAAAAGAAAAATAATTTTTTGTGATTTATGAATAGCTAAAGTGATGAAGCAAAATTAGTTGTTGGATTTACTAAGAAATTTGAACAGCTGCTATTTTCAAAATGCAATTATTAATGTACAATTGAGCACTGTGGGTTTTAATTCATCAATTGTTTGACAAAAATTTGTTCTTTTTAAAAATTTAGATTTTTTTATCTGCCTTCTAGATACAACAGTCAAAAATGCACGAAAAATGAGCCGATAATAGCAAAAGTACAGCATTCTCTTAAATTTTTTTTGTTAAATTTGAAATGTTTAAGGTAATTTATAAAAATATTCATTTTAAATTTCGAAGTTGAAAAATTACTAGGTGGGTCTCTTCAATAAATAGACTAACCGGATCCGAGCCAGATGGGTCCTCCCAGCAAATATACCAACTGTGTCGAACTATGTATTCTCTTCAACAAATAAACAAACTGGATCCGAGCTAGGTGGATCCTTCCAACAAATATACCAACTGTACCCGAGCTAGGTGGGTCTTTTCAACAAATATAAGAGCTGGATCTGAAGTGGTTGGATCCTTCCAACAAATATAAGAAATGGATCTGAGCTAAGTGGATCTTTCCAACAAATACATCAACAGGATCCTTCCAGCAAATATACCACCTGCACACGAGCCAGGTGCATGCCTCCAGCAATTATACGAATTGGACCCAAACTAGGTGGTGGGTTCTTACAACAAATACACGAACTGGATCCGAGTTAGGTGGATCTTTAAAAGTAAATATATCAACTAAACCCGAGCTAGGTGGGTTCTTTTAGCAAATATACGAAATAGATCCGAACTAAGCGTATCAATGCAAAATGTATAGGACATATGTAAGTGACAAATTTTTTTTTATAGTGTAGTTCTAAACAAAAACGTCATAATATGATGTTTTATTATTAAGTTCTCTATTAATCCTATGAAAAACTGTTTGCCTGAAGTTTTGGCTTGACAAATTATAGCTTGACAAGTTTTTAAATTTTTTTTTAAATCTTTGTATCTCTGTATATTTGTATAGCACCCCGAAGCAAAAGAGTTGCACCTATTATTTATTCTGTAACAAATAGCAAATATTTCTGAATCACTCTGTAAATGCATACGAGTATATGTATGCAGTTTGCACATACTTACGTGAATCAAAACTCAATTGATGTATAAAATTCACGGCGAAATTGTTTATCAAAAATGCGATTTTTTTTTTTTGTTTTAAATATGTTCAACTGAATAAAGATATGCACATACGCATACGCAAAATTTCATACTTTGTATTTATTGTCTTGATAAGGAATACTGAATTCCGAGCTGTATATGTCGCTGTCGCTACGTTACTTTGTACATTTACAAAAGAGCAATAAAATGTTTTTCCTTTTATTTCTTGTCTTTTTTTTTTTTTTTTAACAAAGAACGATGTAATCGAATATTCAATTTTTATCTTTATTATATTGCGCAATGGTATGTCGCAATAACATTATTTCTTTTAACTGAAAATCCAAAAATTCAATTCAATTTTTGAATAAAACTACATACAATTTGTACTTTGATATATAAATATTGCATTACAGTTATTTCATACATGATTGATAGATCATTTACAAACATAAGAATCAAAATAATGTATAGGACTCAAAAAAAAGGGGACAAAAAAAAATGAAATTAAAATGAAAATTTTTGAACCCTCAAGGATTTCTGCAAGGATTTTTACTATACTTTTTTTTTATTATTCTTATACAAAATATTCTTTAGGATTTTTTTTGATTTTAAAGTAATGTATGTATGTTTATGTTGTTGAAATCGGTAACTGTATAACATAGCTTTTCCTGTCTGATTGAGATCGTTCTTCCGGGCAAAACAAGAACAATTGACGAATGAATAAAATAATATTTCAAATTTACCTTGCAATACTCAACCTAAGTCATCAAAATTTGAATCGTCCTACTAGAGGTTTTGTGAAATATAAAATAAAATTGACTTCTGTTAGTGTTAGTATAAATTTTAAAAAACTTTAAATAACTTCAGCAACTCAAAAAATTTTAAATCATTTACAAATGCGAAAAACCCTGTATTGAAAGAGTTAAAAAGTACACACATTTCTCCCCTTTATTATAGTTTTCAATAACATTAACGTATAAAAATATTAGTAGCAGTCAAAAATTATTTGATATACTGTGGTATTTGATATTGTACCGTTGCGGTTGATTTAACGTAGAATGTGTGCAACAAATTTTACTATACACATAATATGGAAAACAATAAAATATTTATTTTTAAAGAGTTAGTTCTCCTGCATAATGCATTTTTATTGTTGCATTGTACAATTTAAATTGTAAATTGTATGAAAGCCATATAAGCCAATATGAAATTAATACTTTCTTAAGATGTTGCCCCTATAATATAATGATATCAATATTTCTTTACAAAAGTTCTGAAAGTTTCTTAAAACTGTTGTGTGAATATATTCTTTATAGTAGAATTTGATGACATCTAGAGATATCAATGTTGGATATATTGGATTACGATTTATAAGTATTGTTGTTATTGAAATTTTACAAAATTTAGCACAAATTTTCGATAAATATAAAAAAATGAATAATTGAAAGAACAGAGAAATAAGAAAAATAAAGTATTTCTTTATAAGTAAATATAATTTTGAAGAAAATCAATATTCATTTAACCGAAAAACATTTTCTTAGTGTGATCTTAAACGAGTAAAAAGGATTTTCTTTTAACGGAAGGAATGGAAGCAGGAAAACTTTTTATAATTGAACATTTATTTTCAATTTAGCAAACGAAAAGATTATTTTCCAAATTTTAAACTAAAATTTAGTAGTTTAAAATTTATGTACATGGCTTGAATTTGAAAAATTTGGGTTAAGATCAATATTGGTCAGTGATAAAATCATAGCTGGTTATTTAATCGACTCGTATTTGTCCAATACTAAATTGATGGCCAATAAATTGATTGCTTCTTAATTGATTAATTGATTGCTAAATATTTAAATAGTATAAAGTAATTTCTTCAATAAGTAATAAGTTTAATTCGTGAATTTCAAATTTTTCTATATAAATATGTATTACTCGTCGATCAATTTCCCAAAATGATTAATTTGTCATAGTTGTTTAAATTCAGTGTAACATCCATTACTAATATTTAGCTATAATTTAAAAATCACATAATTCTCGTCTAAAATTCAAATTACGTAAAATCGATTAATACAATTTTTTATGTTAAAACTAATTTAAAGTAATTAAAGCATGGAATATGTACATACATATATATAGTTAAAAGATTAATTTTATATTTTGCCACTTGTTTTGAATCCTTACAATTTTAAGTTAGAAATTTGTTGGCATAAATGTATGACAAACGGAAATTGTACAGCATTTGTCAAATATTTTTTTACAGCAATTATTTATGTGTATTATGAAGCGATTATGTAGAAAAAATTTGGAAACTTAATATAAAATTCATTATTGAATTTTTAACATGACATATAAAATCTTTTTTTTTTTAGAACGCTTCAAGAAATTTTGTTTTTAACATATGGAATAATAAAA